ATAACTAAAAGATACAGTGATCCAAAATCTTGAACCTGGATGTAGAAAATCTGGGTTCAAATCCTTGCTGAGTTAATTAGGTTCCCCTGGCTTACATCAAGTCACCGACTCTTATCCCTCCAACAAATATGCAAAGATTTTAGTCAGCAAGGCTCAAGAATATTAATGTACAGTGATGCCTCAACTTACGACCATAATCCATTCCAGAAGATGGACGTAACTCGAAATGCAGAAAGTAGCACCTTACCTTACCAGGCAGTCTGAAGCCTTCCTACAAACACACACTCTCTCACTCAGAAGCAGAAGCCAGGCAGTCCCAAGCCTCCCATGACGACCCACTCTCTCTAACTGCTGGGGCAAAAGAGTTACAAAGAAGCAGCCTCTTTGTCACCAACAGTTAGCAATTTGAATTTCCCGCCTTTTCCCCCCATAACTGGAAGTTCCGGCCGCAAGTCGAAGCAAAATTTTGCAGCCGGAGCTGGTCGCAACTCGAAATGGTCGTAAGTTGGGACGTTCGTAAGTCGAGGCACCACTGTACACAGATTACGTATGATAGGGGAAAAATGGAAACTGGAGTGGCCTAAAAGGTGGGGACTCTATTTAGGAAGATAGTTTGCCTATGATTATATTATTGTAGTAAATGTACATGTTGTTGCCCACTCTGCTAAAGACCTCCAACAACTCATGAATCGTTTTAGCAAGGCCTGCCAAGACTTTGGACTAACAATCAGCCTGAAGAAAACACAAGTTATGGGCCAGGGCGTGGACTTACTTCCTTCTATTATCATCTCTACACAAGAATTGGAAGTTGTTCATGACTTTGTGTACCTTGGCTCAACGATCTCTGACACTCTCTCCCTAGATATTGAGCTGGATAAACGCATTGGCAAAGCAGCTACCATGTTCTCTAGACTCACAAAGAGAGTATGTATGCCTCAATGAGAAGTTGACAGCATATACAGTACTGTACCAAGATCCAGGTCTATAGAGCTTGTGCCCTGAGCACACTCCCGTACTGCAGTGAGTCCTGGACCGTTTGTGCACGGCACGAGAGGAAGCGGAACACGTTCCATATATGTTGTCTCCGACACATTTTTGGTATCACCTGGCAGGACAAAGTTCCAAATAGAATGAGCTGGAATTTTTAGCATGTATACATTACTGAAACAGCAACGTCTATGTTGTGAGAATGGCTGATGGTCAGATTCCAAAAGATCTCCTGTATGGAGAATTAGTGCAGGGACATCGCCCCATAGGGAGCCCACAACTGTGATACAAGGGTATCTGCAAGCGGGATCTGAAGGCCTTAGGAATGGACCTCAACAGATGGGAAACACTGACATCTGAGCGTTCAGCCTGGAGGCAGGCAGTGCAGCATGACATGTCCCAATTTGAAGAGACCCTTGTCCAGCAGGCCAAGGCAAAGAGGCAGTCCCGAAACCAGCCAAACCAGGGAGCTGGACAGGGGACAGATTGTATTTGTCTTCAGTGTGGAAGGGATTGTCACTCTCAAATTGGCCTTCTCAGCCACACTAGACGCTATTCCATACAGAGCACGTTATCATAGTCTCTCGAGACTGAAGGATGCCTAATCTAGGAGCCAAAACTGCACAGAAGCTATGTAATATCTACAGATATATGTTGGCTTGTGTATGTGTATTCATAAACGCACCACAATAAAGCTTATTATATTCAATCAGCCACTTAACATAACAGCTTCAGGCAATGCAATTTTTATTTTGATCCAACAATCAAATGTAAACATCAACTTATCTGTCCTTGCTAGACATGAAGGCTCTGCCTTTTGCTTGTCTTGTTAAAACAACAGAGGATTTTTTTTAATTGTGTGGGTATGCATTTCTTTACCCAGAAAGATATCTGATATTGTACAAGAACTAAAAACACAGGATGTTTACATAGATACATCAGTAGTAGCTGATTTTCCAGCTTAAATAACTGTAAAGATTATAATTTAATTGGTCGTGCCGACTGCTGAAGTTTTGCAAAACATAGTCCAAAGAAGTTACAGCTGTACTCTGATGATATTGGGCTGAGCGCTGGGGTGAAGGGATAAAAAAAGTCAAGGATGTAAAAAAAAAGTTGTAGGATTGGATGCCAGGGTTTCTCTAGACCTGGGAAGAGCTGAAAAAGTATCACAGTGGGCTGAGAGAGGGAGAAAGACAAATCAACTAACTAAAAAGATCACAACTAACAAAATAAATTTCCCTTCTGTATACCAAGTCAATACTCAGGCCATAAAACACAGAAACATTTCACACTAAGACTGCAATCCTATAGTCACTGATAGGTCAATAGTTTAGATACCTGTCAAAGGAGCCAGAGGTTGGGAGCCAATTCCTAAGGTTCTGGGGAAGCAGACAGAAAAAAAGCCTTTTTGTCCCATGAGAACAAAATAAATGCAAATCCAATTCTAAGTGTTTGTTCATCCCTTCCTTCATTATAAACAGCACAACTATTCTACTGGAAGTTGGCATCCCTATGCTAGTGAGTCTGACAAGAATTCTAGGATATAGTTCAATTTCAGAGAGTTACTGCCCCAGGTAACTAACTACAGGAAGGATTCTTCTGCATAAATTATTTGCAGATTCAAGACCTGTGTCAGAAGCATCTTAGCAAGGAACGCCCTAAAAAGCAGGATTTGTTCTAGGAACTCAAAGAAAATGCTCTATCACTTTTTCATGTTGTTTCCAGTGATGTTTAAACCCAGTACATATTTTTAAATAATCTGGAAGGAAGAAAGGGTATAAAATATAGTATGTTGCACATATAGAAAAGCACAGAGTCAGCATACTTTTAAATAACTTTCAACATAAACATAAGAGTTACCTTCATGTTGTTTCCAGTGATGTTTAAACCCGGTACGTATTTTTAAATAATCTGGAAGGAAGGAAGGGTATAAAATATAGTATGTAGCACATACAGAAAAGCAGAGTCAACATACTTTTAAATAACTTCCAACATAAACATAAGAGTTACTGTTAGGATTACCATCAAGGTACATTATCATAAAGTTGATGACCATTATTAACCATACAATAATCACTCATTTAAGACCATGCAAAATTCCTACTTGTTCCTTATTTTTAAAAAGGATCCAGTTTTCTATAAAAGATATGCATGCATTTTATATATTCTTTAGTTGCCTTTCCAGATCAGAAATTTTTCAAGGTGGTTTATAATACAAACTGTCAATATTATAACCTTCAGTTAAACTCCATAAATAAGATGCCAGGAATTCTGGCCTAGTAGCCTAAATTCAGGGAACTCTGTGCTGACAATCCCAGTTGGAAGTGATATGTGCCAAGTAGAGTTGTTTATTGTCACCTTACTCTGCTTTACAATACAGTACATACTGTATCTCTATCCATATTTCCTGCAATAGTTGGCGAAATTACTGTAAAAATTTCACCAGCTATTGTATTATGGGCACATAGCATTCTTATATAAGAACTACAAAGACCAAGATTCGAATATCAAGCTTCTCACAGAGTTAAAAACAGAATTTTTGAAGGCCTTTTGTAGCTATGAAGAATCTTCAGCTTTTACCCACCAAATCCAAAGAGAAAATTTTGTTACACCCCACTCTTACTATTTTCTTGCCAGTAAGCACTGCTTCGGGTATCACAACCTGCCTCTGGTGTGTGGGACATTTCCAAAGTTGCGGCAGCTGTTTCACTGGCCAATAAGCAGTTACTCCACTGTTTGATTGTAGGCTACCAGTTACTGCCTCAGAATTTCTCGCCATTACACTTTTATGCACCTATCCCTGCATTTAAGTTTTAAGTGAAAAAAGATAAAACACACACCAATGTCCTTACACAGCATAACCATTTCTATCTCCTCCCCCCCAACTTCCCAGAAAGCACCGCATACCAAAGATAAACCTAAATGTATCCTCAATGAGGATTGGAATCAAGGAAGGAGCTACATGTCCCTAAATGATCACACAACTTGAAAAGACAGATAAGGATCTGAGCTCCTAAGTACATCTATTTTTACTTCTATGGTGGCAAATGGTGATTGGTAGGTCTCCCATAAGATGTGCCTACACAGTATTGCCAAGGTGAGATTTCTCAGTGACTGTGAACCAACAGGAAGTCTTCCTCAGATCTACTACTCTGGCCCTCTGTCCACATGTGGAAACCCAGTTTTTCGAGTTCGACTACCCCCCCCCCCCAATGCCTGCCAGGCCCTTGCAGTCACCAGGCCTTTCTTGCTCAATAGGCCCAAATCCCAAAGGCTGTAACGCAGCTGCCCCCCCCCAAACACACACACACACAGTCTCTATACCCACATTCAAGGTAGGCAGAGATGGCACATATGGAGTCGGTTGCACGGCCACTTTTTATGGGGGATGCCATATCAGAAGCCACCTTGTGTGGGGCTGTGGAGGTAACATATGGGTAAGGAAAGGAGCCGTATACATAAAGCTGGCGCGGTTCCAGTGAGAGGGCCGGCAACCCAGCTTTGCCTTGGGGGGGGGCTCCTTGTGCCTCTCGAAGGAGCAGCCAAACACCCAGAGGCCTCGGAAATAACCATCGCCTTCCCTGCACAGGGAAGACCTTTCCCGTGCCGATCGGCAGCAGGGCTGGATCGCCCTCAGAAACGCTACCAGCACCACCATCTCCCCCCCCTCTCTCACACACACACACACCTGATTCATCTGGGAACCCCGAAACTAAACCCCACCCGTCCTCCCCACGGCTTTCCTTCGGCCAGTCTCCTCGCTGTCCCAACCGCCGCCGCCCCCCCCGGGGACTCCCTTCTGGCAGCCCCCTCGCCCTCCTCGCCCGCAGCAACCCTTCTTCGTCTGCCTGAGCCGAGGAAGCTCAAGCCGCCGCCGCCGCCGCCGCCTCCTCTCCTGTTAAACGGTTTTTTCCTCCTCTCGATCCAGCCCCTGCGACGCGAGGAGAGGACGGATCCCGCCCGAGCATGTGCCCTCCACCTCGCCACCCATCACCCAGCCCCGTTTTTATTACTTGGGTCTTGGTGGTGAGCTGGATCACCGCCTTCCTGAAGTTCAGCTTGGAGTCGGCGTTCCCCATCCCTGCCGCGCCTGGATCCGGCTCCGCTGCCGCCGCCGCCCTCCTTCTCCCGGATCGCCCGCGATCCCTCCGGTCTCCTCCCTCCGCCAGCCGTCACCGCTAATATCCCTCCTCCTCCTCCTCCTCTCCTCCGCCTCTCCTTGACGCGGCGGGCTCCATCCCTGCGGCTTCGTCCACCTGCTGCCGACGGCCGCTGACGGCCGCTCCCGCACGCCACCGGGCTCCGTCCAAAGCAGCTGCGCAGCTGATGCTGGGGCCGGCCCTGCCCTGCGGCCCGCCTCTTTCCGTCAAGGAAGCGGCCGCTCGGCCGGTCGCCTTTCCCTTCCCTTCCCTTCTCTCTGGCCATGCAGTAGCCGCCTCCTTTTCCTTGCTGGAGAGGCCTTGAGCGGCGCTGCATGCTCGCTTGGCCTCGCCTACCGACCTCGCTGCTCCTGAATCCTAGCTGGGGGCCCTATCCTGCCCTCATCGTCGGCCACATCGTCTGGCCTCCCTCCGCCCACCCCGCTTCCAGTTATCAAGGCCCTTCGCCCCGCAGCGCCAATCGCAGGGCTCCAGGGTCAGATAGATTCCCCAAACCTTCCGCCTCTCCCATTATATCTCTCCATTTTCCTCACACACCCAGGCCCGCCTCACCGCTCCATCGTAGAGTCACTAGGAGGTGAGTCCCACTGTTTCCAGCGGGGCACAAAGAGTGCAGCCTGAACAACAGGGCCTTGACTAGAGGGAGGCAACTCGGCGTTTGCCTCTGGACATGAATCTATGGGTTAATACCCTGTTTCCCCGAAAATAAGACAGGGTCTTATATTCATTTTTGCTCCAAAAAACACACCAGGGCTTATTTTCAGGGGATGTCTTTTTTTTTTCATGTACAACAATCTACATTTATGCAAAGTACAGTCATGTCATCTTCTTCTGGTTGCTGCACAACAGTGGGGCAGGGTTTTACTTAACTAGGGCTTATTTTGGGGGTAGGGCTTATATTACGAGCATCCCGAAAAATCATGCTAGGGCTTATTTTGAGGTTAGTTCTTATTTTAGGGGAAACGATATTAGGAAAATAAGCTGCAACATTTCCTTACCCTGTCCACTTGTATTTCAAAGTATAAACATTATTTGGGGCACTGAGTTCTCACTTTCTTGGGGCTTATGCTCATGCATCAGGATGAAATAGGTGGGAAATGGTGCAGGTTGGCCCCGCCATCAAAATTGCTAGTTATGGTTTGAAGTCCTTCTTCACCAATATTTCATATCTGCCTTTGCACAAAGAATCATATATTGCTTCTTTTGCATCTTGTTTATATACAGTATTTGTTGGAAGAGAGCTTTGCAGAAACCACAGACTGCCAGAAAGACAAGTTAGATCACAAGCTAAATATGAGCCAACAGTGTGATGTGGCTACAAAAAAGGCAAATGCTATTTTAGACTGCATTAATAGAAGTATAGTTTCCAAATCCCACAAGGTGCTAGTCCCCCTTTATTCAGCACTGGTTAGGCCTCACTTTGAGTATTGTGTCCAGTTCTGGACACCACACTTCAAGAAGGATGCTAACAAATTAGAGGTGGGCGACAAGGATGATCAGAGGGCTGGAAACCAAGCCTTATGAGGAAAGGCTGAAAGAATTGGGCATGTTTATCCTTGAGAAAATAAGACTGAGGGGTGATATGATAGCACTTTTCAAATATTTGAAAGGCTGTCATACAGAGGGGCAAGATCTCTTCTCAATCATCCCGGAGTGCAGGACGTGCAACAATGTGCTCAAGTTAAAGGAAGCCAGATTTCGGTTGAATATCAGGAAAAACTTCCTATTAGAGCAGTGCGACAGTGGAACCAGTTACCTTGGGAGTTGGTGAGTGCTCCTACACGAGGCATTAAAAAAAACCTGAAATAATATACCTTGGGAATTGGTGAGTGCTCCAACACGAGGCATTAAAACCCTGAAATGATAACCTGGCAGATATGTTTTGTATTCCTGCATTGAGCAGGGGGTTGAACTTGATGGCCTTGTAGGCCCCTTCCAACTCCACTTTTCTATGATTCTATGATCTCTTATTGCCTAAATTCCCTTCTATTCCAGTATGCCTCGTATGTTTTCCAAATAGAGCTCACTTCCAGCTACTGATTGTGAAAACACCACATAATACTGAGCATTATTTTAATATTTTATGTATTAATAGTAGAGACTCCACAGAGAAACAAGCTTTTTGCCCAACGTGTGTTGAAACCAGAACCATTTCAGTTTGTTTCTATTGTATTCAGTGAGTTTTGTATAACACTCTTTTTTCATGCTTTGAAAGCACATGCAAGCCTCTCATATATTGTGCACATGTTCGAATTTTAGTAGTACAGGAGAGAATATTTAAAATTCAAAGCTGTGTTCTAGCCTCTGTGATGTATATATCTGTTAGAGATCATTAGTAATTGTAGTCCAATCATGCCCGTCGGTTAAAAATGCCCAGAGAATTAAAATAACAGCCCATTTCTGGGTTGCGGGGGGGGAAATCCAATGAGGCATACTTGTCAGACTTATTTTGAACTTTCCGCCAACACAGATGAGAATTTTGCACAGATCCATAAGTCTGACTATATAGAATCCATGATTACTTAGTCTACATCAATATTTTTTTTCTGAATATGGTTACAAGTGTGGATTACAGAAATTTATCAGAAACTCTTACATCTATAAAGGCCAAAATTCTCAAGCAGGGTTCCTGTAGTCCATTGTTTAAAGTATTAAAGTCATTGTCTCTGACTTGTATCTTTCAGCCCCTCTGTTTCCTCTGTCTGTTAAATAATACTATATTCTATGTATTCGCGAAGGCTTTCACGGCTGGGATCTAATGGTTGTTGTGGGTTTTTTGGGCTCTTTGGCCGTGTTCTGAGGGTTGTTTTTCCAACGTTAGGAAGAACAACCTTCGGAGCACGGCCAAAGAGCCCAAAAAACCCACAACAACCAACTATATTCTACATTGCTGATCTGCTGGAAAAATAAATTTAATAAAGATTGTGACTGTTTTGAACTTGAAGAATGCTTTGTGAGTTATAGATAGTTCTATTGTAATCAACAGAATTGTTATATATGGGGCTATATTCTGACACTGCAAAGGGGAAGAAATTATTTGCACCATATATAATGCATGTTCTTATCCAGATAACAAAGATTTGTCTGAATGAGTAAACATGTTTCCCTCTGAAAGGGGGAATGATGTTTACTGAATGAGTAAACATGTTTCCCTCTGGTTAAAGAGTTCTACTGTAGTTCAATTTCTTTCAGGGATTGTCTAGGCAAAATGTGCAACAGAGGAATCATTTTTTTTCTCAATTTGTATACAAGTGTCAGACTCTTTCATATTTTATTTCACACTATAAAATTTACATATGATCTTATATGTTACACACACACACACACACACACACACACGTGTATATAGGCCATATATACAGCATATGGACCTAGGGCTTATTTTCAGGGGATGTTTTAATTTACAGTCATGCCATCTTCTTCTGGTTGCTGCACAATGGTGGAGGGCAGAGTTTCACTTAACTGGGGCTATTTTTAGAGTAGGGCTTATACTACAAGTACTGTATCCTGAAACTCATACTAGGACTTATTTTCAGATTAGGGCTTATTTTCAGGGAAACAGGGTAGATAGATGTGTGTGTGTGTGGACATTTGGCATAAGAAGCCAACGCTAGTTAAAGAGACTAAAAATGAAGTCTTGACTTCCAAGCAGTC